GAATGCATTCCTATTCACAGACCCATCAAGAAAAGAAACCCGTTCAGTGTATGAGGTTATTGAATTACCAAATATCATTGCATTACAGACAAGTTCCATTGATTTATGGAAGTCTTGCCTTGTAGCAGGCACTATTGTGAAGACTAAAGTCACAGCAATTCACAGAGAGATAAAAATTAACAAAGAATGTGTGTGTAGGTGTGAGTGAGATTGATGATGGGGTCAGGGCCCAGGAAAAGCCCCATGCTTTGATCTTCTCTGTCTCTTTTCATAGAGGTGAGGCATAGGACATAGGGAGGTGGAAGAAGATACTAGGAGGCTAGAAAGGGAAGCAGAAGCTATGGAAAGGCGGCTTGTATCTTGAAAGGCAGAGTAGCGCAAAGATGGCACACTCCACGGTTTACAGGATGGTCTCTATGGCCAGTGCATCCAGGAATAGTTCTCCATGGACAGTGCTCTGTACAGAGCCAGTGTAGAGCTGCTGAACCACTCCCCACTTTGCACACTCAATAATCTAGGTTTTCAGAATGCTGGAAGAAGCATTAAAGCTACCCTGAGGAACAGATGTGTATTTATTGAGAGTCCATCTCCACGGATGTGTGGTCTAAGACAAACCACATACACATGTAACAAACTACTATAATATGACAATGCTAAGACCTAGCTCTTACAGTGATGACAGTTACATGAGGAAATATGCATGTGTGAGTAACCAGTAGGCTCTATATAAGCCGTTGATAACTTTTATTTTTATTTTTTCATTTTATTTTTATTTTTTTGCAAATTCTTTATTGTGATTACATAATTTCACAAATTTCACAGTATTCTGGGATAGTGAATGCTTACTTAAAGTCACAAACACATTCTAACTTTCATGGGGCAAATTGTCTATCATGGTCTATAAAGTTTATGAGTTCTATGAGCTTTGACAATACAGTTATTTAGCTTTTAATAGCTCTTAGTAAGCTATTATTTCTATGTGAGCATCACCACCATCATCGTTATTATTATCTCCCACATTAAGCTAATTCAATAAGCTCCATAATCTATCAATTAATAAAACAAAACAGTCACACACACACACACACACACACACACACACACACACACACACACACACACACACACACACACACACACACACACACACACACACACACACACACACCCCAGCCAGGAGCTAGTGGCTCACACCTATAATCCTAGATACTCAGGAAGCTGAGATGTGAGGATTTTGGTTCAAAGCCATCCTGGGCAGGGATGTCTATGTCTATAGAATTCAATGGAGAAGCTAAAAACCTTCATTTTAACAAGTAATTCTTTATCTTCTGCCATTTCGACTTTCCCTATTCTGACTAGAAGAAACATTTCCTTGCAAAGTGACTTCTGAATCTTGGTCTTGCTTCCTTGGTCTTGCTCCTCTGAACAAGATGGTGACAAGATGCAATACACGGTGACTGTAGTCAGCCTTCATGAACATAAAACTGATACCACATTACTCCATAGTAAGAATGGTGCTTTAAGCATACTGAAACATACCATATTGCTGGCCTCTGACGGCTCATGACTATAATCCTAGTTACTCAGGAGGCTGAGATCTGAGGGTCATGGTTTGAAGCCAGCCTGGGCAAGAAAAATCTGTGAAACTCTTCCATTAACCATGAGAAAGCTAGAAGTGGAGCTGTGGCTCAAGTGGTAGAGTGCCACCCTTGAGCAAAAAAAGCCCAGGCCCTTAGTTCAAACCCTAAGACTGGCACAAAAACAAAACAAAAAACAACCCTCCCCCCCACCAAATCAACAACATGATGAACTCTGCTTAACAATCTGTATATGGTAATAGTTCATGTAAATGTTAATGATAGTAATTAGGCTGAGGTTCAAACTGGGCATACGGAGGGAGAAATCTTACTATCTTCTGCCCAAGCCTCCTTTCACTAGACTGAAGACTGTGAGCTGCTAAGGGAAGGGAGATGTTATGATCTATTTCAGCATCTAGAGCTTGTTGTTTAAGGTCTGTGGTCTCTTCTCACAGTACTGGCTTTATGAGTTACCCACCCCTAGTTGCTAAGCTCTGTTTATATGTTGTATATTCAATGCATCTGAACTTCCATGGCAACAGATACCTTCTAGGGTATAATAGCTTTTCCCACCTCAAAGAGGAGCCTGGCCTTGTCTATCTTTTACAGGCTGAAAATCATGCATTTCTTCCCTCTGTGGCTTCTTGAGTTCAGTGATGTTCCTAGCCGGTGCCAACCCAGATTCCACAGGAAGTGAGGGACAAGGACCCAGGAGAGGAGTCTTTGCCCTGGAAACAGGCGATGTGTTTATTCTCTATCATGCTTCACTGGCTCCAGAAAGTGAATGTGTCCTTCTCGTTGTATAAATTCAAGATGAGAAGTCAGGGCCGTTCCTGATCCTCATAAATTACCCCCCAGACATTGAGGGAACTAAGCCTAATATCACACCACGTTCCCCAACCTTCTGCTGTGGGAAAAGGAAAAAAAAGTCTACAAAATTGAAGACTCCTTTATCTAATGTCTCAGACTTCAATGTTTTTTCTCTCTCCCAGTTCCCTTTATTTTTCTTGGTGGGTGGCAAAAACACATTAGTCTAATTCTGTCCCATTTGTCCCTGGATGCCGCCTGGGTCTGAGCCCGTGCCAGGACTCCTTTTATACGAGGTGTTGTGATATCTGGAGTCTTTGTTCTCAGCTTAATGTTAGCATTCTGAACACCTTTGTTCTTGGTTAGGAGACAATGGCAGGCAGCTGTTAGTCTAAGAAAGCTAAATATGCCTTCTTGACATTTTCCATAGACTTGATTCAATCTAACATCACTAATTACCTTGAATTTAAGGTATTTATTCCAGGATATACATCCAAGAAAATAAAAGTCTGGCCTCAGATGTCTATAAATTCTCAGTCATTAGGGCTACCAAATCTTTCACTGTGGTTTCTTTAAGCTATGAATTTCCCATGAGAGTGCACATTTTAGGCAAGAGTGGCCAAATGAGGACAACAAAAATCAAGTGCTTCCAGCTAAATTTTAGATAGACAAATATGTATTTATTAGATAAATAATGAGTGCTCTTGTAGTATGTCCTAGATAATGCTTAGGACACGTCCTATATTTTATCTGATCTTCCCATGTGTCAAGAACCTGCTTCCCTTCTCTGAAAATTTAAGTAGATTCCTTATTCCCAGTTCCTGGCTCCTTCCAAATATCTAGGCTATTCCTAGTTACCACATTACAACAAGGTGGTCTTTCTTAAGACAAGTAATTTGTGCATGTATGTGTACACGTCTGTGTGTGTGTGTGTGTGTGTGTGTGTTTGTGTGTGTGTGTGTAAAAGGAAAGCACTGAGGTCAATTGGAATGGGGTATGGGCATTTACATTATTCCTCTCATGTTAGTTCATAGAATCAAAGTACATGTTTTTACAATGGAAAAGATGAGACAGAAGAATACTTCCTGTCTTTCCATGTTTGGTCTGTCTAGTCCTGTAGAGTGTTAATAGCTTAAATCTTACTCTACTCCATTTATGTAGGAAAGATAAGAAGTGTGTCAGCCTTTGAAAAAAAAATCTAATTAATTGCTGGAGCTTCCATGTCAGACTTGGAGATTAGTATTACATTGACTAAGAAGAAAAAATAACCCAACAGCACCAACTTCATGTCCCAGTAGAGTGGAAAATGTATATTGGCCTTTAAAGACAGCTATTGACCTTAGAGACTATTTATTTTAAAATATAATGATTCTCACTTGGTGGACTGAATTTCATGCATCAAGCCTGATGCAGTTGGTTTGACCTCGAAGGATTACTGCCTCTCCATTCTTTCTAACTGTGACCCTCCTTACTACTGGTTTCTGCTATGGAATCAGTGACTATATGTAATTCCAGGGAGGTGCTGATTTATCAGAAGGTAGTACCATGGTATTTTATGAGCATCTAAGAGAAGAGAGCCAACACATTTTGAGTATCTTGCGTAGGTGGAGGCTGTGTGTTCTACATACATCTCTGTCTAATCATCGACTTGGAGAGAGTCTTGGAGATAAGTAGTTTTGTTTAGGTCATAGAATGGATTCTGAAAGTGCTTTACTTAGCATTAACTCCACTTGAATTTTCCTTTCAGCATTTACCCGCAGTTACTTTAAAAGACATCTGAGCAAGAATCCCATACTTACTAAATTAGCCTTTAACTGAAAATATAGGTATTACTTTCTGATAGCCAATGTTCCTTAATTTCTCATAATGGGATCACCCACTATTTTTTTTAATGAAGTCATGCTTATTTATTTGAAGTTATCCTTCTAAGCTCTCATAGCTGTATACTTGATTTTATATTTTAAAAATCCCAAGAATCCTGAGGCCTAACAAGTCCAACCTTTAATTGATGTGAAAGCTGAAAGCGCTTCATAGGCCTCATTCCAGCTTGTGTGTGGATATTTGAGTGATGGAGGTTTGTAAGCCTTTGAGGTTAAGCTGGCATTTGCCTTTCAGAAACTTTTACTCAGCCAACTTAGTTTCTTCGGGGATCCCATGAAAAGTCATACTGGCAAACTCGAACTTTTCCTTACTTTTGTAGCCTAGATCTTGTACTGTCTTTCCATAAGTAAAGGATAACATTAAAAGTAGTTTTGAATCATATTTTTATATGAGAAGGGGAAATATGGATGAGAATGGTATGTATTATAGGAAAATATGTTTCCTTCCATATGTATGTCTGCACACATGCACATACATCAATGTTATATTTTCTCTTCCACGGGAACCAATTTGGAAGATCAAAGTTGAAGCCAAGAACTTTCTATTCAGGGTCCAAAACACCTTTCCCATCAGCTACAGAAGGGAGTAGAGCCGAGCGGTCCATGTTTCTGTTGGGTTATAAGTATATTGCACTGCCGGATGGCATTTTTGCAAACCCTGGGCAGTGCAGTGTCCTGCGATGATATGGCCACCTGGTTTTGGAATCACAGTTTGTCCATCTTTCCCATCCCACAGATCATCTTCCGGAAAATCAGCGACGTGAAGAAGGAGGAGGAGGAGCGCCTCAGGCAGAAGAATGAGGTGACTCTGAGCATCCCTGTGGACCACCCGGTCAGAAAGCTCTTCCAGAAGTTCAAGCAGCAGAAGGAGCTTCGAAATCAGGGCTCCACGCAGAGTGACCCGGAGAGGAACCAGCTCCAGGTAGAAAGCCGCTCCTTGCAGAATGGCGCCTCCATCACTGGTACCAGCGTAGTGACCGTGTCGCAGATTACTCCCATCCAGACATCGCTGGCCTATGTGAAAACCAGTGAGTCCCTCAAACAGAACAACCGAGACGCCATGGAACTCAAGCCCAACGGTGGTGCTGACCCCAAATGTCTCAAAGTCAACAGCCCCATCAGAATGAAAAATGGAAACGGTAAAGGGTGGCTGCGACTCAAGAATAATATGGGAGCCCACGAGGAGAAGAAGGAAGACTGGAACAACGTCACCAAAGCTGAATCCATGGGGCTATTGTCAGAGGACCCCAAGAGCAGTGACTCAGAGAACAGTGTGACCAAAAACCCACTACGGAAAACAGATTCTTGCGACAGTGGGATTACAAAAAGTGACCTTCGGTTGGACAAGGCTGGTGAGGCCCGGAGTCCTCTGGAGCATAGTCCCATTCAGGCAGACGCCAAACATCCCTTTTATCCCATCCCTGAACAAGGGTTACAAACCACCCTGCAGGAAGTGAAACATGAACTCAAGGAGGACATCCAGTTGCTCAGCTGCCGAATGACTGCCCTAGAAAAGCAGGTGGCAGAAATTTTAAAAATACTGTCTGAAAAAAGTGTACCCCAGACCTCTTCTCCCAAATCCCAAATGCCACTCCAAGTACCTCCCCAGATTCCATGTCAGGATATTTTTAGTGTTTCACGGCCTGAGTCACCTGAGTCTGACAAAGATGAAATCCACTTTTAATATATATATATATACATATATATTTGTTAATATATTAAAAATAGTATATACATCTATATACATATGTGTGTATATGTAGTATATACATATATATATATATTTTCACTTGCTTTCAATATAATGAACACAATATGGATTTTGATATGTACATATTGCATGTCCAGCTGGATTCTGGCCTGCCAAAGAAGACAATTATTTAAAAAATACACATAGATATTGCTTGTATATTATGCAGTTGACTGCATGCACACTTTACATTTATAATCTCTTCTATGATAATAAAAAGTATGATTTTTGTTAACTAAGGCAATGTAATATTTGAAGAATCAGGGTCCAACCTGCCAATGTTGCCATGACCAATTTGATCTCAGGCTGAGTATGTTAAGTATTGACCTGCCATTTCTTCACTCTTCTGTTAAGTTAAAATTATAGATCAATGCCAAGGAAGAGTTCAACTTTTTAAAGTGTTAGGACCATTTTTATGATCTCTTTCCATAGGATATTTTTCTGTAGCTTAGTGTTAGGTTATTTTCCCCTGCAGGCAAGGTTTGTTCCACTTAAATGACTGTTTTGTTGCCTACATCATATAGCAGTGTGGGATATTGAGAATTTATTGCTCTGGGTTTTGTGCATGAATTGCATCTCCACTCAACGATACCTCTCCTTTTGTAGCATTATACTTAGGTAGTAATCATTAGCTCTTATGTAAGGACATCTGTACTCCCTCCATCTTGGAGACCATCTTTGTAAGCTGACATTATCAACACCATAAATACTCAAGTCTTACTTAATATAGTGTATATTACAATAGGAATACTGCACCACAGGGTATCAGGGCCTTTTAACAATTTATGTTAAATGTGCCCATTTTTCCAAAGGTCATGAATGTTCTACATTTGTATCTCCCAAACTTGTTCAAGGGTGAATTCGAAAGGTTTCTAAGCAAAGCAACATATAAAAAATATAATCATCTAAAAGTTTTAGCTATTAAAGGTACCAACGTTTTTAAAGAGAATGTAAACAGATAGACATGTTTTTGTAACTAATCCATCTGTAACTTAGAAGAAAAGACAGGTATAGAATTGTTGACACAAGGTTCTTAATGTCTGTAGCAGCAGCACATGAAATGTGGTAACTCACAAAAAACAAAAAAAAACAAAAAAAACAACTGAGAGATGGATGTTAAGTTGCTCTGCTCAGACAACTGCTTTTTCTATGGTTTTCTTCTGACGAGGAGTTTCTTAAAGTATTTTTGCATACTGCTGGACTTCTACTGAGTTGATACAATAGATTTCTGTGGCTCAGGAAGATCCACTTAACAAAAGAGGGTAAAGACTGAATTTCATAGTCTTCTGGGTCATTAAATCCTCTTCTTAGAAAGTGCCTATGTTCAGCTAAAAAAGAAATCACAAGCAGTTGTGACAGCTATAACCAGTCCCTTCAGTGATTAACATTGAGAACAAAATACATGTTCATTTGTAAATATCTGGAGATTTCCTTCTTTTCCTCACTGAAGTATATTTTATGAAGTTGCCCAGCGATGCATACATTTCAAATGTTGCAATATAACATTTAGTTTTGGGAGGAAGGTGCTAGGTTTGCATCAAGTTGAAAATATATGCCAGTAATTTGAATACTGTTATACTAACAGCATATACACGCTAATACACAAAAGATAATGTCAAAATCAGAAAAGGCTTTGGTCTGTTTTATTCACCTTTTTGAGCTTTTCTAGTTAGAAAGAAGCTCCAAACTTCTTAATATCTCTAGCCTATTCCAGCAGAATGGAAACACAAGTTACCACAGTCAGGCTGAAGAAGTGTGAAATGATCATTCCTATAACACACAAAAAGGTTGCCAATGAGAATTTCTCTTGGAGCTTATTTGCATGCCTCCAAGATATGCCTCCATTTTGGGACTCTTGGAACACATACATTGTGCCTTGGGTTCTGTTTTCTTTTCTGAAGGCATGAGTTTAGTTGACCATTATGGACATTTTCAGGGGACCATATCTCCATGCTATGCCACGCTATGCTATCTACCTACCGTAGGTACAAAACAAATGAAGTCATTATGAATCCCCCTTAAATTAAGACTTTGTTTTTGCTTTTGTAGTGAGGATGATACCTTTGCTTGACCACTGATATTTGTAAAATCTCAGATTCTATTCTTGTTTAGATCAGATTTGACTACAGCTCTTAAAGGTGAATGAGTATAAACAACAAAAACAACAACATGAGTACAGAAATTGTCAGTTTAACTGTAGCCATGTGTTTTAATAAAATAGCAGTTGGTGTAGAGATAGAAGAGAATGCTGTGAAATAGGCTGGTGGGAATTGCAATCCATACCTTCACATACCAGGGGCACAAATATTTGCTGTGCTCCTCCATCATTAACTTAAGGGTTTTACTTAATTGACCTAAACTATTTGCCATGGTGGGGGCTCTCTCTAACTACATGGTAATATATTTGGGAAAGCAACATGGTCCAGGCTTTTGAGAAAGAGGAGGCAAAATATCAGCTGTTTCTTTGTGGTGCAGTGATCACAGCATTCTCTTCTGGATGTTCTGTGCTCTGTGTGCATGACCTGATGTGGACTGGTGAACTCGGTTGTTTTCAGCAGGAATGCACATATGCAGCAAACATTGTATATAGAGTAGTCTTTTAGGTTCCCAGATTTTACAGTTCTTCACAGTAGAATTTCTCAGACTGAAGGATGAATGCTTGCTTTAATAATGTGCAATAATGATGCAAATCATTTCCTGTGTTGTCTCGCCCAACCTACAGATGGTTGAAGTTCCACTAGGGACTAGGTGACTGCATGTTTTACTCCAACACTGTACAGATGCTCTTGGTGCATCCAAAATAAAAATAATTTTTTCCTACTATATTTCTCAACAATGACCTAATAGGAGTGAATGGATGTGTATTCAAAATCCCAACCTTTCTCCAAATCAGCATACATGTCTTCTGTACTTTCCTGTAATAGATAATGAGACCAGGTGCTGTATCCTGGACAGGTGGTTGTAACATAATAGCAAAAGTCAAATAAAAATGGAAATGAGAGCTACGCATCCTAATAGCAGGTTCTGTCAGTTTGTATCAGGATAGTGTTGCACTAACGGTGGTCCAGTAGTTAGAAGAGTCTCCAATACTAAAAGCATATAAAGCACAAAAGATAGAGATATTCCTGCTTTGACATGAATGATACTTAAGAAGGTTCAGGCATTGTGGCTGAATACAGATTCATATTTTATTGTTCAAATGGAAAAAGAAAAGCACTATTATGGTCTGGATTCCATCTCGCAGTGAGTTTAAGAGTATAAATGTCCTAAACACTAGGGGAAAAATATTTGATATAGATCAGAAATCAGAGATTTTGAGAATTTGGGTTTGCACTGTTTCTGGATAAATATCCGCTCACAAAGTACCCAGTACTTTTTATAGAAATATTGTTTATGACAACTATTTTGAAAATCAACCTAATTGGAGCCCAAATACAAATTATATTTTCTCATATTTGAGAAGATTTTGTTCACTTGTGAGATCTGGTCCATTGAATACTGTATTTTAAATAGGCAAATTCTTTTTTGGAAAACCTGTATTTTAAGTAAGTGTTCAGAAAAGTCACTGTCCTAAAGCGTGCAGTGGCTGATACTTGCTCTGTTTGTCCTATTTCCCATGACTTCTTCTGTCTTGCATGATGCCCTTAAAGTGTTTTTGAGTCTCTCTTTTTTTTTTTTTGAAAATTTCACATGGGTATAAAAAATTGTCTAGAATGTATATATCATCCACAGACAACACTAAAATGGGAATATTTGTAATGCGAATGTTGTCCTTTAATATTTTGATTGGATATGATATTTCTTTTTTGGTGTTGATGGAAATGGGAAGAAAATGATTTTTTTTAAAACATCGTAAGATGAGTATCTGAGGTCTGTTTTGGATTCCTTGTGGTAACTTTGTCACAATTCAGCAGAGTTGACGCAAATCAGTTGTTTCTAGTGTGTTCAGAATTGCAGCATTCCAACTGATGAATATTCAAACCAAGAGCCGGCTGCTCTTTTCTTATCTCAGAAAGCATTGGGTCAATGGATAGGCATTTGTCTTTCATGAAAACCATATGAAGATAAATGTTTCTTTGTTTTATATGAGATCAACCATGACATGGGCTCAATTTAAATATTCGAAGTTTTCAAAGAATTTTTTTATTAGAGTTGCTTGTAAAAGGCTTAGGTTGTTAAATAATTGTCAGTTGCAGGTGAATGCAAGACTTGCAAGTTTCCTGGGAATTTAGAACTGCTAATCAAACACTAAGAGAATGAAAAGTGTTCTGAAGGTAAGAAGAGAAACAGACAAAGGTAAATTTCATATAACTTTTTGTTCCATTTCATTATCATGTTCAGCAGAAACTTTCAGTTTGGAAATGGTGGGGGAAGTGTATAAATTATTAAGTGTTTAAGGTTTAGAACAGTTTGTCTTGTATAAATATAGTCATGACTTAAGAAAGGGGGATTCACATGGACAAAAAAGATACTTTAAAAAAAATCTTAGCTGGGCACTGGTGGCTCAAACCTGTAATCTTAGCTTCTCAAGAGGCTGAGATCTGAAGATTGTGGTTTCAAGCCAGCCCAGGCAAGAAAGTCCCCATAAGACTCTTTTTTTTTTTTTTTTGTCGGTCCTGTGGCTTAAACTCTGGGTCTGGGCGCTGTCCCTCAGATCTTCAGCTCAAGGTGAGCACTCTACCACTTGAGCCACAGTGCTACTTCTGGTTTTCTGGTAGTTTATTGGAGATCAAAATCTCATGGACTTTGTTGCTGGGTCTGGCTTTGGACAGTGGTTCTCAGATCTCAACCTCCTGAGTAGCTAGGATTACAAGCATGAGCCACTGGCTCCAGCCCACATGAGAGTCTTATCTCCAATAAACTACTCAGAAAAAGCCCAAGTAGCACTGTTGCTCAAATGGTAGAACACTAGCTGTGAATACAAAGGGATTCAGGGATAGCATCCAGGCCGAGTTCAAAGCCCCAGGACTGGAAAAATTAAATTCTGAACTGTGATGTTTCACAATTTTTCAAAAAAAAAATCCCAAAAAACACAGAAACAAGAAAAAAAGTAGGTTAAAGGAAAACTGAATGTTACTGAAAAATCACTCATGTTTTTATGTCCAAATGAGATTATGTTTTGAGTTAGAAAATTAGGTGGTTATTAGTATTGGTCATTCAGAGAAGTCACCTATAGCATCTAGATGTTTGGTTTTGGAAACTAGGATCATTTTGTGAAT